AATATGGTTTTTTCTACAAAATTTTACATTTAATAAACAGTTTTCTATTCTTAACACGTTGACCGCATCGTGTATCCATATGTATACACGCGTAAACTCTCGTTTCTTCAAGTCGTGTATCCATATGGATACACGATTTTGATAGTAAATTTATTTTTGTTAATTTTAAGTATTCTAATTTTTACTTGTTTCCAATTGTTTCTTTATATTTATCAATTCTTAAAATTTAATGGCGTTTAAATAGATAGCGTTTTAAGAAAAAAAACTTCGTTCAAATTATAAAAAACACTGTGGTAAAAGATAACTTTATTTGAAAAAAATAAAACAGAAAATAACATTAGAATTAAAAAAAACCGTTATAACAAAAAAATAAAATCAACATAATCAATAAAATCAACATTTAGTATGACATTTTTGAAAACAAGCTAAACAAAAAGGTTTTAAACAATTATCACATCTTGTCTTAATTTGACTAGCACGATTCCTGGCAATTGTGGCACCAAATTCTTTTGATAATTTGTTGTAGCATTCAGTACAACGTCGTTTTCGAATAGTTCCTTCTCCTGGTTCTTTTTCAAGTTGATGTTTTCGTCCAGAAGATGTTGGCTTTTCCAGTTGCAAAATTGATGAGACAATATCTCTTTTGAATTGTACAATTTTGATATTTTTTCCGCTATGCAATTTATAAAGATGCAGAGCATTAACAATGGAAACTTGAGTAATTATATGAAAAAAGATTCTGAGGTACCATTTCATTGTTTTACGTACGTATGGACAATAAGAGCCCAATTGGTCAGATAGATCGTTAAACGATTTCCCTTTATTGTAATCTACGATAACAGCAGGTTTTCCTCTCTCCGTAATGCTACCATCGTGAATAGATGAAAGCATTATAACTTCTCTTTTATCTTTCCATTTTAAAATCATAATACTATCACCATTTTGTTCTTCAACATAATCACCTTTCTTCAATTTCAGAGAAGTTACGTGTTTTGGAAATCCAATTCTATTTTTTCTGGCCGTCCCAACTAAGTTTGTCTTGTTTTCCAATAAAGATTTCGCCAAATTCATACTTGTATACCAGTTATCTGTATACAGAATTCTGCCATGTCCAAGAAGGTTTTCCATTAGTTTTAAAACTACACGTTCTGCCACAGAACCATATCTTGGCTGGTCCACTTTACCGGCATAAATTGATAAATTATAAGTGTATCCGTTGTTGCTACACAATTTAAAGATTTTGATGCCATATTTATGCCTTTTACTAGGAATATACATACGAAATCGAAGTCTGCCGCGAAAGGGTATCATGCTTTCGTCAATGCATATATCTCTGCCTGGAACCAGTAAGTGTTGACATCTGGCAATGAACAAGTTGACAAATTTTTCTATTTTATATAACTTTGATCCATTATTGTTGTCATTGTCAGCGAAGTGGAGGGATCTCATAAAAGAATAAAATCTTTTCCTTGTCATTACACCTCCACATATTGCTTTACCGCCAATAGCAGGGTCAGAGGACCAATAATCATCGAGTTTAGGCAGAACAACATATCCCATTTGCAAAATGATAGCCATAAATTTTCGCATTTCCATATTATTTGTCGGCAAATAGTTTGAATCCTTTGTTGGTCCATAACGATTAGTTTCTTCCACAATAAAATCGATAAGTTCGTTGTTCATAAATAAGTTATAGTAATCGACAGGTTCTTTGCAATCCATTACCATATCCATATTCATGCCCGCAGTTCCGTCATCAAAATCCCATCTTAAAGGTTTCTGCACATTTTTCGACCATTCTTCTGAACCATCATCACTACCACCATCAGTTGATTCACTATCAGCACTATCGGATTCATCAGATTCGTCCTGTTGAATTGTTTCCATTAAATCAGAATCATGTTCGTCATCACTTTGTAACAGCAACCTTTCAAAGCTATCGTTTAATTCAATATTATCATCAGCCATTCTAATAAATAAGAAAAATTAATAGCTAGAAAATAATAAAAATTTACGATTGTATCAAAAAATTAGTAATATCAATCAAGTATTTGAGGAAAAAAGTTGAAAACTGTTAAGTTTCGACAGTCAAGTTTTCTTTCAGTCGATCACAATTATTTATTCAACAATATTTAAAGTCCATACAATTGCTGAACTGGTGTTTAGCAGAAAACGCTAGGTTTATATACCCGTTTATCGGCGTGCTGGAAGGTTCTGGAACATTTTGGAAAAATATATTTTTAAATATTTAAAAGTTAAATAGTTTAGGTTTTGAGAAAATTATTGTTCGAATGTTCAAACAAAAACTAAAAATTATTAAAAAAAAAAAACTCCTCTTTGACTTATTTGTGTATACATATGTATACACGAAATATTCAAAAAAAAAAAAGATTATTTGGCAATGTGATTTTTTCAAAAAAAGGCAAGGCGGTCAACGTGTTAAAGCTTTATTTCGCTTGAATCGCGTTTTGTTTTGCCCAAACGTGACGTCACGCGCTTAAAGATGTTGGCTTCAAAATATATAACTTACGGCGGGTCTATCAGTTTATATGGTCGAAGGTTTTTATCCTGGAAATTTAAGAGTTTTAACACTATGGTTCTAGGTTTTTTATTATTAATTGGGCCAATTTGATGGGCTCTTTCAATAACCACATCGCTTGATATTTTAAGATTTTTATTAAAGATTTCTTTTACTGCAATTTCACACTCGCTCCAACTTTCTCCTGGTTTTTCTACTAGTCCATCTATTCTGAGATTATTTCGAAGAGATCGATTTTCCAAATCTGTTGTTCTTGCGGCGAAAAAACCACGTGATCATTGCGTAATTAAAAACAAAAATATCTACCATTATGATATGGGGGCAAACAAACGCGCTGATTTCAGTACATCATTACTTAAACGCCTTAAAAATGTCTTATGATTATCAAGAAAAGTTATCTAAAAAAGCTGCTTAACGTTACCAGAACAATATTTAGCGTTATATTGAAATAAACCTGTGCAAATGCTTAAAGAAATCATGGAATTCAATTAATTCATCATTTTGAAATTATTGCACAGTTTACAGATGTAGTCAATAAATAAAACAAAAATATTACATATTGATATTCTAATAACATTTAAAAATTCTATATTTTGCTTATAATTTTCCTCAGTGTAATATTTATTCCTCATGTTTTTAATATATGTGAAATAAATGTTATAAATAAAAAATATTTTTTACAGTATAATAATGAAATGATCAAAATTACTAATTACAACAATTTGAATTATAACATCGTAACAATATTTATAAAGCTTTTTAGTAAATGGTATGAGGATTAACAATATTATGTCTTGGCTTTTAAAAAATAACATAAATGACTTTTTATCTTCATTCACAAAGGTACTCTATAAAACCAGTGACAACAGCAGAAACTCTACTAAAAAAAATAGAACCAATTTATGCTGAAATCATTTACAAATTAATGTTTTATGTATCATGTTAACATGAAAAATAAAAATTTAATTAAAAATATAACTAAATATATAATAAAGAAGAAACTTACTTTGTAAGATTGTTTTTGTGACCTAGGAACAATCCTAAAGATTAAAAATGACAACATTAAAAGTATGTTTTACTTTAAAACATGTTTCTTGCCTATTAGTAAATGATTAGAATTAACGAGTTTAAGTAAAAATAATCATTTCTAATAATCATTGCTATAATCTAATAATCATTTGTAGCAAGAGACACCATTGAGAAAGTAAGCAAAGTTGTCTATCAACACAAAACCTCACAACAATAACATCACTATAATAACACAATAAAACAAAATAAAATTATACACATAATGACTTACAAGTAAATCAACACCGCACTATTGAAACAGAACACAGACACACATATAATGTCTAAAGGGTGAGCCAACACGACACCAGAGGTCGACACAGAAAATAAACACATATATATTGACTTATAAGTGAGCCAACATACACATAGTCATTTACCTAGCCATGCTGCATTATTTTTAAACTACCATCATTCTCAGCTAAGTTAACTTGTTGTTTCATGTTGGTTCAAGACACTAACATCTTCCACTCCAGTCAACGAATTGTCAGTACTTATTTGTTCACTGACTTTAATAACTTGAGATTTATTGCAATGACTTTTTTGTACATAATATTCTAAAAAAATATAAGCATGTTTGAGGTATATAGTAAATACAAAATTTGTGCTTAACAAGCATTAATTTATTTAAAAATTAATTTATTTAAAAAATAAAAACAATAAACACATGATTTATAAATGCTTAGTTTTAATGCATTAATATTTATATATACAATTTATTTTTGTTATGCATCAATGCATAACAAAAATAAATTGTAACTATTACATAAACAGTTTTTACAAAAACATTTTAAACAACAAGATAAACTATATTAAATAGTTTATCTTGTTGTTTATACAGTACATATAATACTATATAGTATATACTAATTGAATTGTTTAATCTATTTATTCTCCTTTCATTTCACATAACAATTGGTTATGTTGGAGGCAGTGGCGAAACTACTGGACGCAGGACCCTGCGTTGCGGGGGGGGGGGGCCTACCAGCTATAGGGAGCCCTCATATAAAAAAAGTTATACTCAATAATATTTATACTATAAAACTCTTTTCCGCAAAAAAAACATTCTTTTGCGGGGGGGGGGGGGGCCCAAATTTTAAAGTTCCGCCACTGGTTGGAGGGATGATTTCACTATATATATTTTTTAGCACCTAACAAATTTACTGATGGAACATAGTCAACATGCTTTTCAAAATTTTGAAAAGCATCTAGACTATGTTCTTTTTTTCCTAAAAGAGAAACATACTTACAATGAATAAAAAACTTAATAAGTTCAAGAAAAATTAGTGCTCAAATATTTTGACGATTCAAATACAAAACTTACCAGATACAAAATGTTTTGAGCATACTTAGACATGTTTTGCGACCTAAGTTTGTTCATAGTCAATAGAAGTTATACCTGGTCGGGAAATAAAGTATTTCGACAAAACGGTCTTATTGTTTAAAAATATAGTAATCACGTGATCAAAGTAAGTGCAAAAAAAATTTACCGATTGAAGAAAGTCTTCAGTTTTATTCACTTCTCTTAATTCTAAAAGCTTGCCATTCAATTAATTTTAATATTAATTTTGTTCAAGCTGTTTAAATAATTAAGTTAAAATTATTTTATAACTTTTTTGAGTTAAAAATGCCTGGAGCAAATTGTGCTTTTCCTGAATGTGGAATTACAAGAAACTCTAAACACCAAGGTATTGGAATATTTCAACTTCCAAATCGGCCAGATGATTTTCATCAACAATGGAGAAAAAATATACTAAACATTTTGTCAAAATGTAGACATTTTGACAAGCATTTCAAAGAGCGCATTGCAAATGGAAATATCTTTCTTTGTGAACTTCATTTTGAGCCAACAGATATTGAGTTTACAAGTAAGTTATTTTCTGAGTTTTTTTAAATGTTAAAATATTATTATTTAAAATATTCTTATCTTATTTAAAATCTTTTAACTCCTCATTTAACTTATGCCTGTTAAAACTTATTTCAGATCTTTTTTAAATTTTTAAAAAACCAAAACAAAATCATTTTTTTTGTTGCAGTAGAATAAGTCTTGTTTTATTTATGTCTGATTATGTTATTGTTTTTATACTATAGAAACTGGTCGAAAAACGTTAAAGCTTGGGGCAATACCATTGCTCAACATTCCTAAGAAATCTCATGAAACTGTTAAAGCTCCTGAAAGAAGGCATATATCTATTGTTAAAGATATTTTGACTACAGAAGAAAAACATACAGACAAATACAAAAACTTTAGTGAACTTACTAACATAGTAAAGAAGCTTAAACTCAATTGGTTTATATCATAGAAGTTGTTGTTGGATGTAGTCTAGAATTTTTTGTTATTGTTTATGGATGGACATTGCCTGATGACCATCACTTGTATAAAGAATTTTTACGATCAGTTCGTCATGTTAAAATATCAAAATTGTTAAATAAAGTTCAATCTTTACAGATGTGTACTGGCATAACATATGACTTGGTAGATTGCGATAAAGATGGAAATCTAATAAATCATTCTATTCCTCATAAATTTGACCTTAACAATGAGAAAAAAGTACCATTTAAAGCTAGTCAATATAAACGTCACAAAGATTGTTTTGTTATTGGCTCTGATTGTGAAAAGTGTGTAAAATGTTTAAATTTTGAAATTAATTTTATTAAATGTAAAGTTAGTACTTCAAAAAAAATTGATCAACCAGCTCATTTGAATGCCCCATTATCTGTCACACATCCAAATTGTGTAAAGTTAGCACTCGTTGAAGAGCGTTCTAAAAATAAAAAACTTTTGCAGAATATTGAAAGAATGCAAAATGAAATACAGGCTAAAGGTATTCAAGTCAGCACTTGTTTAAGTTCTGATCTTGATATTATAATTAGTAAAAACCAAAAAAACATGACACCATTTATGAAACTTTTTTGGGAAGAACAGAATCGTTTATTAACTAGCAAAGTTCCTAGATATCATCCAATGATAATTCGATTTTGTCTTTCTCTTGCATCTAAATCAGCCTCAGCATATGATGAACTTAGAGATGCTAAAATTTTAACACTTCCAAGTAGGCGGACACTACGCGATTATAAGAATGCTATTCGATCATCTGTAGGATTTAACCCAGCAGTGATTGCTGAATTAAAAGAAAATACAAAAGACCTCTCTGATATTCAGCGAAATGTTGTACTTTCTTTTGATGAAATACGCATTCAAGACAATTTAGTATTTGACAAGTCATCAGGTGAGCTCGTTGGATACGTTGATCTTGGAGACCCTGAAATAAACTTTTCGACCTTTACTGATGTAAATGATTTAGCCAGTCACTGTCTAGTATATTATATACGTGGAATTGCATGCGATCTCAAATTTTGTCTTGCATATTTTGCTACTAATGGTGTAACAGCTATGCAAATAATGCCAACATTTTGGAAAGCTGTCTCTATATTAGAACTTTGTTGTAACTTGAAAGTAATTGTTGCAGTTTCAGATGGTGCCTCACCAAATCGATCATTTTATAAAATGCATCGTGGATTAGACAATCTAGATGACTCAGATGTTGTGTATCGCACAACCTTATGGAAGACGAAATGATAATCCAACTTTAATTCAGTTTGGCTATCAATCCAACACCTTGCATATGCAACGTTCTATTGCACCAGTTACAGGGAATACAAAAGGAAGTTTTAAGCAAAAACGTAGAGTTTCTTGGAAATTTGTTGATAATGCTCCTTTAAAAAAACGATCTACAAAGAAGTAATTTACAATCTTTTGTGTTTTTACTCGCTCATAGGATAGAGGTATGTATATTTATGTTCTGTTTGTACCTCTGGCACGGTGTTAGCTCAAATGTAAGTTGTTTTATGTATATTTGTGTTCTGTGTAGACCTCTGGCGCGGTGTTCATTCACTCGTAAGTCGATTTTTTTATGTTTGTGTTCTGTGTAGACCTCTGGCGCGGTGTTGATTCACTCGTAAGTCGATTTTTTATGTTTGTGTTCTGTGTAGACCTCTGGCGCGGTGTTGATTCACTCGTAAGTCGATTTTTTTTATGTTTGTGTTCTGTGTAGACCTCTGGCACGGTGTTGGCTCACCTGTAAGTCGCTTTATATTTGCTATGTTATTGTTGTGTTATCATTGTTATGTTATTGTTGTGTCTGTTTTTGTTTTGTTTGAACCTCTGATGCAGTGTTGCTTTACTCATAAGTTGTTTTATGTTTGTTTGTGTTCTGTTTTAAGCTCTGGCACCGTGTTGGCTCATCCGTAAGTTGTTATATGTATATTTCCTGTGTTATTGTTGTGTGTAATCATTGTTATGTTATTGTTGTGGTGTTTTGTGTTGATAGACAACTTGGCTACCTTCACGTTGGTGTCTGTTGTTAAAAATGATTATTAGGTAGTTTCATTACTGAAACTCTACTTCTAATCATTCACTAAAAGCCAAGAATCAAGTTTTATAAATAAAATGTATATTTTGATGTTGTTGTCATTTTTTATTTTTAGTGCTGTTAATACTTCACAACAACATTCTCACAAGTTAGGTTTATTATTTATTATTCATTTAGTCAGGTGTTTTAATTTTTAACATAAATTAAAAAACATATTTATGTGCAATCTGTGTTTTCAATAATAGTTCATTCCATTTTTTAGGGAGAGTTTCTGTTGCTATAACTGATTTTGGAGAGTTCTTGTAGAACAGAAGTTTAGAAATCTAATATTTTTACGATTTTTTAAAAGCCAAGACAGGAATATTGTTAATTTTCGTACCATTCACTAAAAGCTATATAAATATTGTGACAAGTTATCGAAATTGTCATAGTATTTTTTATAATTTTATTATTATACTGTATACTATTGTACTGTTATACTATTTTATATTTATAATATATATTATTAAATCAAAAATGAAGTGGTGATTTTTTTATAGTGAGTTAACAAATTCGTCAAATAAAAAACAATTTTTCTTAAAGAAAATAATCCATAAAAATTTATTGAAGTCGCTCCGAGGTTGGTTGGGGCTTAGGGCAAATTTTATTTCTGTTACCATTTTCTTAGGAACAGCAATTTTTCTTTCAAAAATAATCTTTGGAACAGCCACTTTCTTAAAATTTAAAAAAATGGCCCTTAAATAGAATTTGGGGTCCCTAAACTCTTCGGGTCCTGTGACAATATCGTCTAACTGCCCCCCCCCCCCACCATTTCTCTCTGTATAGTGGCTTTGAATTTTATTAATTTTATTATTATTAGGAACAGTTTTCACGAAAAACCATATGATTAAAAAAAACCAGTCTGATTTGGAATCTTTTTCAATATTTATGCATATTGCAATATTTATGCATAAGTTATATATATATATATATATATATATATATATATATATATATATATAATATATATATATATATATATATATATATATATATATATATATATATATATATATACATATATATATATATATATATATATATATATATATATATATATATATATATATATATATATATATATAGTATATAAATAACTTTATATATCTATATATTGTACAACATTCAAAAATTATGTAATAATTGGATTTTATGATATTACTTTTATCCATTGAGTAATTATAATACAACTCTATATCTTCTACCGCGCCTCGCCCTCACAATGAATGTATGTTGTAAGCTAATAAAACATCGTTTTCATTTTTTATACTAGTTTTTCTCATTTTATTAAGGATAAAAATAGTTTTGAAAATGAACTAATTTTTTCTAATAGGTTGTGTTGCAACATCGCTACTTTATTCCATAAGTAAACCTCTAACTATTGCTCGTGAGTCGGAATAAAGTAATATTTAACAGCTTTGTGTTCATAAATAACAAACTTTGTGCTCATAGAATTTCTGTATGATCACTAATATTATTTTCAAAAATATTAGTGACCTGTTAAATAATTATGAGTCTTTAGGCACCTGTTAAAAAATTTTTTGTACATGATTTTCTCAAAATCTAGTTTTACTATGTGAACAACCGTGAAATTTGTTTATATAATTGTTCACATATATTAGGGTGATTACAAAATCACTATTTAATGTTGCTTTTATAACTACCCTAAAAAAACACACACACATTTTATGTCATTGTTTTCAGACTTATGTGGTTCGGACGGTTTTCCATATTATTATTTTCTTAATGAAAATTAAATTATAAAAATAAGTGGTTATGTAAATAATATATAAAAAAAAATCTGAAATACAGCATCCCATTTTTTTCATCTAATTTAACTTGTAGCTAGTAATTTCCTTTTTTTTTTTTTTTAAATTTGTCTAAATTTTTGTACGGATTATGTTTGCATAAGAAAATTATTTTATTTCATAAAATTTCTGTAAATAAAAATTTCTAGATGCTTTTTTCATTAGGAAAACTTGTTTTTATCGGACAAATAGGTAGAAATAACATTACGAAAAAATCATAACTTCATTGATTTATTAATATATAATATTACATATAAATCAGTACAGTAAAAAAATTTCGAAATTACTAATTTGAATTATAAAATTGTAACAATATTTATATAGCTTTTAGTAAATGGTATGAAAATTAACGACATTTCGTCTTGGCTTTTAGAAAATGCTTAGAGTATAAGATTACTCAACTTCTAGAACTCTCCAAAATCAGTTATAACAACCGAAACTCTCCCTAAACAATGGAATAAACTATTATTGAAAACACAGATTGCACATAAATATGTTTTTTAATTTATGTTAAAAATTAAAACACCTGACTAAATGAATAATAAATAATAAACCTAACTTGTGAGAATGTTGTTGTGAAGTATTAACAGCACTAAAAATAGAAAATGACAACAACATCAAAATATACATTTTATTTATAAAACTTGATTCTTGGCTTTTAGTGAATGATTAGAAGCAGAGTTTCAGTAATGAAACTACCTAATAATCATTTTTAACAATAGACACCAACGTGAAGGTAGCCAAGTTGTCTATCAACACAAAACACCACAACAATAACATAACAATGATTACACACAACAATAACACAGGAAATATACATATAACAACTTACGGATGAGCCAACACGGTGCCAGAGCTTAAAACAGAACACAAACAAACATAAAACAACTTATGAGTAAAGCAACACTGCATCAGAGGTTCAAACAAAACAAAAACAGACACAACAATAACATAACAATGATAACACAACAATAACATAGCAAATATAAAGCGACTTACAGGTGAGCCAACACCGTGCCAGAGGTCTACACAGAACACAAACATAAAAAAAATCGACTTACGAGTGAATCAACACCGCGCCAGAGGTCTACACAGAACACAAATATACATAAAACAACTTACATTTGAGCTAACACCGTGCCAGAGGTACAAACAGAACATAAATATACATAAAGCAACTTACAGGTAAGCTGACACTGTGCCAGAGGTGTTGGCTTACCTGTATCCTATATCCACCCCTGCTCACTATTTCTTTATTGTAGACTTATCAGACCCTTTTTTAATGTTTGATCGAAGCCCACCTTTTGATTTAGTTTTTTTCGACATAGCTTTTTGTCTTTGAACAACATCTTTAGCCATCGAAAATGATCTTACTCTTAAGTATAATTTTACCATACTCTCTAAAAGATTTGTTTTAACTTCTTTATCAATTTTAAATTGGCAGGAGTTCTCGACAATAGCATTATAAAAACTTTGCACAGTTGTATTTGTGATTAGCTCAGATGCCATATTTGCAATGTCATCTTTTCTCAACATTGAATTTAGAGTTTCAGACCGAAATTTTATTTCTGTTAGAATAAATATTTGCTGACACTCTTCTGTCAGTGAGATCAGTCCACCTCTGTTTTGAACATCAATAAGTCTTTGTCCATGTGACAAATTTTTTTCAAGAACACAGTGGTTTAAAATAGAAATAATTGCTTGGGTTTCTTCAGATTGATAGTGTTTACTGTTTTTAGCTTTCTTTAAAAATTTTGACGAAACGTAGCCAGCCAAGTATTGTAGACCATCTAATTCCTTTGCAGATATAGGTTTCAGTTCAATTGATTTATTCTCTGAAAAAGATGTTTTGTAATAATACAAAATTTTATCAGTTAACGCTGTTGATATAAGCGTACTGCAAGGTTTTTCAAGATCATTAAAATATTTATCAGACTCTAATACATGTGAAGAATATGTTTCCATGTAAAAATTTTCACCATTTCCTGTCTTCACTAACTTTTTGTAAATTTTGTTGCACTGTTGGTATAATAGATCGTTTATTACATTGATATATTGAGATATTTTATTTAATTTTATGTCTGGGTAGTATTTTTCACTTAGCAAAGTATTTATAGCTTCATTAACTAATGTTTTTATTGTCTCAACTGATAAGAAATTTTCTGCTTCGATAGTATCAGGTTTTCCATCAGAATGTTTTGTTCGGATATGTCTTGTTAACCCACCCTTTGTCTTGTAATACTTTTTGCACTTTTGACATGAGAATGCAGCAGATGTAGTCTGTAGTAGATTATTCCCACCGCCTGAATTATTCCATCCCCCTATGAAAAACTTAAAACGAGATTGCGCTTTCGGGTTATAACTGTTAGAAGTGTACCTAAAACGTCCGTACTACATTTGTAAACATAAACAAAGAGAAAAAAACGTTTAGATGACAAGAATTTTAGAAATAAAATTCTTGTCATCTAAATAGATGACAAGAATTATACATAAATAGTTTACATAAAAGTAATCTAAGAACGACGATATAAGAAAGTGTTGTAATGAAAGAAAATAAACAACTATATACTAATTAGTTATTTATTTGCATGAAACTATTTTACAAATACTTTTATCATATAACAGTATATGTAAAAGTAAAATTCAGACAGATATAAATTATATCTCTCTAAATTAATACCTCTCCTTTATAAATCGCTCAATGTAAGACAGTCTGATCTTTACTACAGTATAATGATTAAAATTCTACAACTATAAAATATTTAATAATTAGTTGATAGTTGTATAATTTCTGTTTTAACTGAATAAATTAGTTATATAATTATGTAAAATTAATTTACAAATATCTGTCTAAATTATACCCTCCCCCTGAGTAAATTACTAAACTTGCCTCTGAATTATTTCCTTTTTCCTAGCTAATCATTTAACAAAAGATGGTGTGGTAATGGTATTGAATGATGCAATAAATAGTGAACAACTATAAACTTTTAGTTATATATTTAATTGAAAATACTTTAAAAAAATACATCTTCAAGTTTTAAAATTATTACCTCCCCTTAGTAAATTGTTTAAAGTAAGACTGTGTGATAATTGCATGAAGTGATAGTAATCGGAATTATGCAGCTATATATCAATAAGTTAAAAAAATTATGTAAAAATGATTTACAAGTATTATGTCTGAATCATCACATCCCCCTAAGTAAATCATGCAATACAAAATGTTTGAATCTGGTATTGAGTGATATAAATTATTTTTATATTTTACTGTAATTGGAAATTTCTAAAGCTTTTTATATTTAATCTTGCAGGACTTTTGTTTTACAATAAGAACATAGGATAAAAGTGTTATGCTTATTTTAATTAGTAAAGTTATTAGTCCAACATATCAATATTATTTTAGTCTCATTTAAAGATATTGTAATGTTATATTGGTATTTGATTTTTTCCAAACTAACGCATATTAATTTTCTGGTATGTATATATGTTTTTAAGTTCTATGTTTGCTATTTCATATGTTCTACAAAAACTGGCATTGATTTTTTTATATTTTCTTTTAAAAAATTATTTGTTTAGTGCAAATTGAAAATTATTTCATTATTTAATAATTTGTTTTTCGTCTATTTGTTTTAGTTTGACGACAAGGTTCTGCTCTACTTCATTTTTTATGTTTAATTTGACTACTGTTGAAATATGGTTTTAATTTAGTAAATTTTCATGAATTGAAATTTACTTTATTAATTATTAGCCAACAGTTTAGGTAATAAAATTGAATTCATTGCTATTAAGGTAAGAATAACTTTGTTCTTTGGTCACACCATTAAACAGTTATTTTATTATATTCTTTTATTGGTATTTTTCACTAAAACTGTTTTTTATAATTATTATTATGTCATTTCTATTTTGTGTAACTAAACCTAAAAATAATTCAGCTAACATAACCTTGAAAATTTAATAGTTTTTTTTATTATTACATTTTTGTTTCAGATAACCTTGTTGAAAATATCAAGAGAAGCTTGAACAAAAAAGTAATTGTTTGTAAAAAATCTAAAATCGCAGATTTTATACTTACTTAGATAATAAAAAGATGAAATAAAGATTTTTTTTAGAGGGTTGTAGCAATCTTTTTGAAATTCGTACTTGTAAATCAAGTCAAAATTTATTTTTAAAATGCTGAATCAAATTAAATAAGTTTGACATTTCTTGAATTAAAAAAATAAACTTTAATCTGAAAAAAGTTTTATTTTTTTTATTGAAAGTGGTTTGCCTCTACTGCAAAAAGTATTTTAAAAATTATTTTTATTGGAATTACAAGATTTGCCTAAGATAAAAACGACACTCTGCTATAGATTTATAGTTTTTTCTAAAGTTAGTGCTTGATTTACTTTAACTTGTTGCATAATTTTGATTTAATAGTTTATTAAAATCTCAAAAAGTGAGAATGTTTATCATGGGCTTGGGGTAATGGTAACAGTCCAAGACCAAAGTATTGGATTTCCTTTGCACTTTTGCTGTTTTTTTCTTCTTTTACGCTGCAATATTTTTATTTAAAGTATTTTGTTAAATAAATAGTGTTTTGTTAAATAAAAGTCTGTCTTTATATGGAATACTGTTGCCATATCGCAGGAGAGATGGATCGGGAAAGATAAGGAGGGGTGGATCTTAAAATGATATTCTTTCCCTTCAGACAAGGTACAAAAACACAATGTAAACATAGTTGGACCTGGTCTTGCAAACCTCTAACCATTATCACATGTAATGTTGCTTCTTTTTCTCAATTCTACAAATACTCATGCTACTCCTCATTCGATTAAGTCTTATCCTTTTTCTGTGACTGCTCCTAAGTGCTCCTAAAAACTTTTATTCATCTAGTTTTTTTCTTTGAACATCAGTTCTTTGGAATTCACCTGCTTCAGTTTCTATTTTGATTCATATAATTTCCAATCTTTAAAGTCATATGCCAATCATTATCTTGCTTTATAAACTTTATCTTATTCCAGTAACTTCCAAGTCTATTAGTGATTGATTGTAGCCTTGTTGGAAGCAAAGATATAGAAAAAATGTGTCCTTTCTATTTAAGCGAGATTTCCCGACCAGGTATAACTTCTATTGACTATGGTTTGTTTTAGCAAGATGAATCAGTTCTATATAAAGCATAAAGCCACGATTTTCTTCTCTTTGGATCAGGAAGCAAAATATAAAAAATCAAGTTTGGATGACTATTAACATTAATTGAACAACCAAAAATACATCTCTCCATTTTCAAGCGCTTTACTTAGTTAAAGTGACGTCACGTTCGCCGCAAGAATACAATACTTTGATTTCATTGTCGAAGTATTTTTTAATTTTTTTAAGTTTTTCTAAAGTTTTTTCTTCTTGGAAATTTAGACTATCTTTAACGTCGTTAAGATCCTTTTCTATATTTTTAATTTTTGATTTGTTTTCTAAAATTTCTTTCTCCATCACGTTAAGTTTATCTGATATAATTTTAAGGTTGCCACTTACAATTAAAGTAAAAGTTTTCTCTTGTTCCTTGAGTAGCTTTTCTGTTTCCTTTAAAATACTTTTCCTATGTTCATCTAACTTATTTGATATAAGTATTTCAATGTTTTTCATTGTGATTTCCATTGCTTTTTTAATTACTTATAACACGTCTTACTCCCGGATATATAACAAATATAAATAAAATTAATAGTGAATATTTTGAATAAAAAGAAGATAACTTTAATAATATTTTTAAACTCATTGTTTCCAAATGATATTAATTTTCTTTTATTTATTTTTTTTTTTTAATTTAATTTACTTTTAAATTTCGAAAAACTGCTGATACATATGGCATATTTAAAATGCTAATCTAGAGTTTCGTTACGTTGGTTGTCATAGCTTATTTTTAGAAAATTTGTTTTATTTTTCCGTTTTCTTATATGGATTTAAATTTTATATGGTCATCATTTTTTAATGCTGAGAGATAATACTACGAAATTTATCGACTTATTGCTCTCACGTTAAGGGCAGGGGAGGATGAAATTTTACGGGTTTTTTGTTTCCAGCCTCCAACCATCTCAATTTTCTGCAAATCATTATTATTTATCTCAAACACTAAAAAATGCTGGATCCGTCAATGATAATATTTCATCTTTAAGTGTTAAACCATGTATAAACTATTTGGTTTCAAATTTGCTGTATAAACTCTTTGGTTTCAAATGCCAAAATTTATGAAGCACCACAAGGTGCAGCTAGGACCATTAAGAGATCGTTCATAAAATAGTTACGTTAGGATGAAGGAGATTGGGTCTTCAAATGTCGTATATGATATGGGGGTGGGGGAGGGGGTGATAGAAAGGGTAGGTGGTCAATTATAAAATTAAAGAGACACTAAATTTAAAGAAATATCAAAAAAGGTTTGATAGATAGTTTAAAAGCGTAGGTACTTTTAGGGAGGTCGGAGTGTACTCAAAAAAGCGTACAACAAAATGCACGAGGAGGGAGGGGGGCGAGAAAATGGTTGAAAAAAAAAGCGTACGTAATTTATGGAAAACCCATAATGAAACAAATACAAAAATCAAAACAGAGTCAATAGATTTAAATGTAACAACCTTTGGCTATATATGTTCGATCCTAATTTTGCAAAAAAAATTTAATTTTTTTTATATATTTTTTTTAAGAAATAAAATGTTCGATATAAAAAGGTTATCTTCAATAAAATATTCGATATAAAAAGACTATCTTGCGACATATTTTTTAAGTCTCATTCCTTTTTTTTAACAATCTTTTTTGTCTAGCTGAAGCCGGCTTCGACCGTTGGGCCTCTTAATTTAAAGCAAGATCTCTAACCACTGCGCCACGGTATCTGTACATTGAAAATTAAACTAAAAATTTCAAGAAAGTTTTGCCAGATAAAAGGTATTATCTGCCAAAGAACTAAGTTTTGAATTAATGTCTTTTTTTTTCTCGTTTCACAGATAATCGTTAGATCCTGGAAATGGCTTAATGTATTTGTGCACAAGCGAGAAAATCTTAATTGATTAAGATCTCAATTGATTAAGATCGATGATCGACAAGGATTAAGCAACTTTAAAAAGCTTTCCATTGAAAATAAAACTGCTGCTTTAGTTAATGGAGATATACAATATTACATATAAATAAAATTTAGATGTTTGTAAATATTTGTTTGATCTATTTTTATTAATTCCATGCCCCGATTTTTGTTAGATATAATGCTACAAGTACTTGTCAACAATGTACTTGTCAACAAAAAATATCATTAAGTTTGGTTGGTTAACAACTTGCTCAAGTAATATTTCAACGCCTTATTGATAAACACTTATCATGATAAATGCTTAGTAACAAAAACTCCTAAAAAACTTTATAGTATCTTGCTTCTCAAACTGCTTATTATTAATAAGTTCTGATAATTTTAGAGCAAGGATTTCTTCATGCATTTTATTTATAAAACAATGTACATTTTATTTTTTCAACGTTCAGAAAAAGTTTATTTGACCTAAACCAACCATTTACTTTCTTTAATTTTTTCAATATTTATGTCCGCATATAGTTGATTTATATTGGTATTAAATTAAAAAAAGATTTGCATTGTCTGCAAACTTCTGGTAAGAAGACATTACCCAGTTATTAGCATAATAGCAATTTTTGATTAAGGTGGTTTTATAACTTCACTGTAAAAAATTATTTTATCTTATCTTTGAATTCCATTCAAACTTTTGGATTTGATTTTTGGATTGGATTCAAAAGTTTGAATGGAATTCAAACTTTTTGATAAGCTAAGTTTTTACAGTATAATTTTAAACAGTATTTCTCAATAATTGAGAAATAGCGTTTTTGAGAAATACCGTTAAAAAAATTATTTAAATGTTTCAACAATTATTGTTCAATTATTTGTTAAAAAAAAAAAAACATATTTTAAAACAGTTTTCTTTTTCTATGTCAAGGTTTATGATAACGTTTATTTGCAGAATTTTATCGCTAATGTCTCAGACATATTCGCTCTCCGCAACATGTTTTGAAAAAAGTAAAAGAAGACATGCCGATAAAGTTATATATTTATTTGTTATTAACATTTTTCTTATAAAAAATACCCTTAGCGGAAAGGTTTAATTTTTTAAGAGTTTGGAAAATTATACTGTTTGTTTCACGTGAAAATGAATTTGATATCAACAAACAAAAATTAATACAATAAAACTATTTTAACAATATACAAACCGTAAAATTAAAAAACGTTCGTAACACTCAAGTACAACGATTCTGGTAGTTTACTAATTTATTTTATTTATTTATTTCGTCATTTAAAATAAGCTCTACAAAGTCTTTACAAATTAAAGATAACAAGAACTATGTTTCAGCAGTCAATTTGTCGCCTGCGAAAAAAAAAAAAAAAAATTATATCTTTTCGAGCTTTTTTACTCCTTTCGAGCTTTCGAGCTTTCGAGCTATTTTACAGCTGCCAATAATTTGCATTTGGAAATGTTAATTAACGGCATGAACAATGTACAGCAAACTTGTTTGCAAAAATGCCGAAACTATCTTTCAATGATTAATAGTATAAAAATTTACATAACTCCAACTTCATTTAAATCGTAAACCTGGTTAGGTTTGAAAAACCTGGATTCAAGATGATAACACTTTTTTCTACTGTGATTTTATTTGGTTTTACTTTTAACAATGTGTATTTAGTAACTATAAAAGACAGCAATAAATGCAAAAAATACCCTTGTCTAATATTTGAAGATAACTTTAACGACTTTGATTTATCTGTTTGGGAGCATTTAAGAACTGCGGCGGCAACCGGAAACAACGAGTTCCAATATTATACCAATAATCGTTCTAATAGTTTTGTAAAAGACGGCGTACTATATCTTAAACCGACATTGACAAAAGATACTTTTGGTGAAGAATTTTTGTACAATGGAACATTAAACTTATGGGGAAGTACACCATGGACAACGTGCACATCAAATTTAGATAGTGGGTGTAAGCGAAAAGGATCCTCAGATTCTCTAATCAATCCAATTCAGTCAGCAAGTATTCGAACAGCAAATAAGTTTTCTTTTAAATACGGCAAAGTAGATGTGAAAGCAAAACTTCCGCAAGGAGACTGGATATGGCCTGCTATTTGGTTAATGCCAAAATATTCCGTGTATGGAGATTGGCCAGCATCTGGAGAAATAGATCTCATGGAGTCTCGAGGAAACGAAAATTTGACCGTAAGTAAAAAAGACCTAACTCAAATAGGAAACAAAAGAGTTTCTCAATCTTTGCATTGGGGTCCATATTTTCCTCAAAATGGACACCCAAAAACTTTAGCAAGTCGAGGTAAGATCGAAGGTTCTTTTGCTTCTAGTTATCATGTATATAGCGTAATATGGACAAAGCATGATATTTCTTTTTACATTGATAATTCTCTATCCTTAAACGTATCTGTCGGAAATGAAGGATTCTGGAAATTTGGAGAATTCAACAAATTAGAAAATGCAAGCAACCCATGGGAGAACGGATCAAAAATGGCTCCGTTTGATCAAGAATTTTATATAATACTTAATACAGCTGTCGGTGGAACAAACAGGTATTTTGATGAAAATTTTGAACCAAAAATACCGTGGGATAACAGTTCTAATGGTCAAAAAGCAATGAAAGAGTTTTGGGAAAACAAAAACCAATGGTTACCTACCTGGAAAGGTAACGATGTAGCTTTAAAAATAGACTATGTACGAGTTTGGAAGTTGGAGGCAAACTCTAGTGGCGACACATAATAACCAAAAAAATAAACTTAGCTGAAGACAATCTTGTAATTATATATGATAGCTAAATTGTGATAAAACTTTATGTTAATTATTTATATTTATTTTATAACAACTATAATTCAAATGTTCATATAAATCGTAATTGTGTGACCATCAAACAACGTTACCAAAGACGTTTTTGTCAATATGTTCAAAGAAAAATGTAAGAGTTCTCAGAAAAACATATTTTATTAACAAAACGACATTTACGGTTGGTAATTTAAACTGATACTTTAAACTTTAACATCTTTATTATACGTCGTATAGCAGCAGGATGAAATTTGCTATTGCCATATTGAGTTAATTTATTTGGTACAGGCTACTTATAAGTATGTAATAAACATTAGTATTAATTGCACTATATACGTGATTTGTAATAGAAAAAGTAGCAGGCAAACCTACATTGTATTTTTTGGAGAACGGTACAGTTAATTGAGAGGTTTATTAATATTGGATATAGTAAAATATTGTGTTAATATTTTGGCAGGTGCCATTGTGTTAAGATTTGGTACCCTTGCCTGTAAGTCCTTAAGTAGCTGATGTTAATTAAACATTAAAAAAAACTCTAAAAAGTGAAGTTTCAAAGTTTTGTTTTTTTTATTCATATGAAGAATACTTTTCTAACGAAACGGACCACGATATTGCATTTGCTAAGAACTTATTACAAGATGGTTTTTGGGTATGTTATTTTTAAAGATTCAGTATGGTATGTCTGAGAAAATTCATTAAAGTAAGAGGAAAAAACTTATTATTTATTATTTTTTAAAGATAAAACGTTATTTATTAGAGATAAATGACGCTTTTTTTCTTTTCTTAAACACTTTAATAAATCGTTGTACAATAAAATCCTTAAAATTAAAAAATACTTTTACTTTTAGAAATAAGTAAACGATGTAATAAACGTATAAGTAAATAAACAAATAAATGTATAAATATAAAAGTATAATATTTGCAACAAGAACGTGGAGACTCAAAAACCAATCAGGTCATTGAGAACCGCTCGTAAATTAAAAACCTCATACGATTCCTGTACATAATTGTTATTCTTATATTAGCAAACATTAAACTTTTAAATATAAAGAAATATCATCAAGAGAAAAAATGACAAATTTTACTATTTAAATAAAAATCGAAATGTTTTATGAATAATAGGATTTTAAATATTTAGGGCCTCAAGTTTACGTAACAGAGATTTTCAATTTATGTTTATGCCAACCTTAACACTTTTAAGTACTTCCGAAGGCAGAAAAACAAATTTAGTTTTTTCTACATTTTGAAAGTTGGTTAGTTATAAACCACTTGTTTGTTTTATCTAAGACTTCGTTAATTAACTTTTAAAAAAATCTTTGTGAGAATAAATTATTTTCAAAACATCTGAAATTAAAATAATATTTAAAAATTTAAATGTTAAATGTAAGTCATTTACATAAAGTAAAAATAATACAGTTCCTTTAATAGAGGATCTCACAAGTTATCGCTTTTTTATTTGAGTAATGCTTTCTGTTAGTCCGGTATAAATTTTTATAAGGAATCGTCCATAAAGTACGTACGTTTGGAGGGGAAGACGGGTTCTATAAATGGCGTATATGGAATGGGAAGCCAGTGAGTCGATGATAAAAGAAACGAGACGCTAAATTAAAAAAATATATTAAAATATTAGATACATAGGTTAAAAGCATAGGTACTTTTAGGGAGATGGAGGGTACTCAAAAAAGCGTATTGCAAAATCCTTTTCTTTAAAACTCATTTGATAAAAAATTATTCAGTTCATTACTGCGTGGTGTGAGTTGCTAAATTTTACAGTTTAACATCTCGTTTCCAAGTAAAAAATAATAAAGTTGTTCACTTTAACATTTTGTTTACAGGTAAAAGATAATAAATTTGCACAGTATATATACTGTACAAATTTACTAACTTTTACATGGAAATAAGATGTTATACTGTACAAATCTATTATCTTTTACCTAGAAACAAGATGTTAAATTTTATATAAAACATCTTGCGATAATTAGATAAATACCTGCACTCTAGGCCGGCGCGATAGGGGTGTGTGGGGGTGTGACACCCCCCCCCCATCAATGATTTTTAGTCGGCAAATTAGACCCTTAGTCGGCAAATTGAACCCTTTTACACTAGCTCGACCTCGACCCTTTCAATATAGGTTAGTCGGTAATCTAGACAGTCGGCAAATGTCGTCATGGTAGTCGGCAAATTTTGGAAAACGAGGACTTTTTTTTTTGTTTAGTCGGCATGATGTAATGCCACACCACCACCCCCCCCCCCCCCCGCCACGTGACACCTACTCGCGTCTTTTTTTAATCGATTATGCAAATCTAAAAGACATCTTTTTTCGACATCGAAAAGACGTCTTTTTTTTATCTTAATCTAGTCATGAAAAGACATAAAAAATCGTCTTTAAGACGCCTTTTTTTAGTCGAATATGCAAAATTTAAAAAAGTGTTTTTTCTCGGGGTCAGAACGACTTTTTTACCATACTTATTAATATACTATAGTATATTAATAAGTATGGTAGGAATACTATAGTTTATCCTATACACTATAGTATTCCTTCTTTTCTTATATGAAAAGCTATTTTTTTCAAATAAAAATGACAATAGGTCTTCATACAAAGAGTGACAAAAAGCTTTTTCCGATGCCGAGAAAAAAAACCTCTTTTAAATGTCAATATAAAAATGAATGCATTTTCTACATCTTTTATATGTTTAAATATAGAAGAATAGTTTATAAATAAAACAACAGTATTGTTCAACAGAATATTTTTTTATCTTTCTCTTTCTTTTCTGTTTCTTGAGCGAGCTCTGTTTCTTGGCGTTATTGAATAAAATTAACAATTTCACGTCGAGAAAATCCTTTCATACGAGCAGGTTACTTCTAGCTGGTTACCACTTCTAAGAAACGAGTGAAAATAAAAAACAGGCTATTGCTTAAATTTAATACAAAAAAAGCAAACGAAACTTAATTGGCTGAGTGGAGCACATTATACTTACCGACTATTAATTCAAAAAGGGCTGATCCTTTTAATCCATTCAGGTTTCCAGCGCTGTCCCTTCTTTTTGAATCCACAAGGTTAGATTAAGACAAGAGTCAAACGGTAAACAGTCTGAAGATATATATAAATTAGTGTGCTAAATAAATTTACAATCATCAAAATGGCTGTACAACGATTATGTAGTACTTAAATCAAGCTAAACATTTGCACCTCTCAGAATTGCTATGAAAGCCAAGTTATTGAAAAAACATATATTGATATTTTTCTGTTTTCTATAACATGATTTTTTTATTGAATTTCGCTGAAATTGTTGTAGACTCATAACAATTTAAAAATCCGTTATTGGCTAAAAACTATCAAAACGAAAAGATCATTCAGCTAATACACCTTGAGAGTTGTTATTCATTTAAACTAGAAAAAAGTATTAGTCAAAGCTCTATTTTAGCCTGAAACATAAGGATGCTTTGCTTAACAACATAAAATCATAAAAACTGGCAATATCATTAGCAACACAGATGAAATACACATAAACAAAAATGAAGACTAGAAAGCTGCAATGATGTTTAGATATAAGAAAGTGCATCTTTCTAGTATCATTTTCACTTGGTTTTTTGTATCTAAACCAAAAACTTTGCGAACATTTCTAAAAAAAAATCTGTTGTCATTATGTGTATTTTTCTAGTTGCTTTATTAATGACAGATAACAGTTAACAAGGAAATAACATATTTAACATAAAAGTTGAAGAGCCAATATTTTGTATAAACAATGGCGTATGTGTATTTGATTCGCGTGTGATTAAAACGATGATTCATTTTAGCCGTTTTTTATTTGAAGTTAACTAAGAAATGCCACCCTCCCCTAACCCCATGAATCAAATACATCTCCGCCTAAACAATTTCATCATTCAACTAAATAAAAACAACAAAGTTATTCAGATCATTTAAAAATATATTAAAAAAAAAAATTGCAAGCCTACTGAATTCTTCTTTTTTTCTATCGTTCGTTTCACTGGCACTTGAACAAGTAAATATAGAGAGAAATTGTTTACAGGTTTTATTTTTCGTCTGAAAATAAATATTTTAATTTAATATGTAATAAACAACGTTCTTCAAGCACAATACATTAAAAAATTAGTCTAAAAATAAATAGCAAAACTTTTTTTAAATTACTTACCTGTGACTAACTTAATTGAGACTAGATCATATCGATACCATCTTACTGCCACCACGCCATCCACTTTTGCTTCTTCCGATAAACATTTTTTAGCTAAGTAGCTGGAATTGTATATTTATTTCAGTATATATATATATATATATATATATATATATATATATATATATATATATATATATATATATATATATATATAATATATATATATATATATATATGCATTTATATTATGTATATTTTTTATAGTATATTACTTTATTTTATAAATTATTAAATAAACCAGCTTACCAAAAAAAGTTAATTTTAATTAAATTTCCTATGCAAAAACGTTTCACATAAAAGTATTTTGTAAACAAAAAACGGGCCAATCAGAACGTAACAAATATATCGTAATAACGATACTGTGGGTTAAAATCCATTTTTGTTAGGTTCTATTGGCAATAATTATTTTTAATTTTCTTAAGCAAATAATGATTTCCTTATTAACAACCGATTGACGTCTTTTCGACCTCTTTTTTGAAGACGTCTTTTTAAAAGACGTATATTTCCATGTCTTTATTTTGGCTGATTATAAAAAGACATAACAAGTCATAAAAAATTTGATTCCCTTTGAACTTTGAATTTTACTTTTTTATGTAATGTTACCAAGTATATTTTGTAAGCTTCAGCAGCCTTCCTTAGAATAAGTCATTGGTTTTTTACTTTATTTACAGCTGTTTCTAGATCTTCTTGTGTTCAATTTGTTTTATAATCTTTTATTTTGTAATTTTGTGACATGTTTTCTAAAATAAGCGAGGAAAAATTAAATTTTTTTTTTTTTTTTTTTCTGATTAACATCGTATAATATTACTACAATGCACGTATACATATGGAATCTCATAAAATAAAATATAAAAGTATATAGATTACTTCAAAATAAAGTTAAATTAGATAGGGTCTCAAAGAAGATAAGTATAACATTACGTTATCGCAATCTTTTCATAGAACCCCTAGGTACAAGTTTAAATAAAACAACGTAGGAATAAATAGCTCGTATAAAAATATAATAATAATATAATAATGTTATCATTAAAAAGTCAAGACAAGGTTAAGTTAATCAAAAAAGTAAAAAGAAAAAACATTATCTTAAGTTAAAATTTAATTTTTTTTTTTTTTAATTGAAACTTAAATTGATTTAAAGACTTCACCATAAATTTAAATTCCTTTTGACAGTCATTCCATAATTTAGGTCCTCGATAAGATATACAAAATTCTGAGAGTTTATTACATTTCCGAGGCAATTTAAAGTTTTTATTTCTATTTGATCTTAGACCATACTTTTCATTTGAATTCATTTCAAACTTATCTTTGAAGTTTGCTGGCAAGAGGTTGTTATAGTATCTATACATAAAAATTAGATGTTGATAAATGTTTATTTCAAATATATCCATCATTTTCATATCTCTAATAAGAGGTTTTGCATGTTCACGTTTATGTTTACAGTAAATAATACGACAAGCGTGTTTTTAGAGCCAATAAATTTTTTGAAGTTTTGAAGTTTGCGTACTTGCCCATGGTATATTTGCAAAATTAATAAAACAGTGTATCAGTCCAAAGTATATTAATTTGAGACTTAACATATTGACGTATGATCTAACCCTATACATTACGCCAATAGTTTTGGTAACTTTTGAATGTATGTAAATTATATGGGGAAGCCAGGATAAATTTTCATCGACAAGGATTCCGAGGAATTTTATACTTGCTTGCTTTTTAATTATTGTATCATTTAAATACAATTCGCAATTTAAGAGGAATGTTTCATTCTTGTGTTTTTTTATGGAATAGAGTATAGTTGGTTTTCTCAACATTAAGCGTGAGTTTGTTAGCTGTTAAAAAAAAGTCATTTTAAAAGGAAAGATTTTTAAAAATCGGACAAGCTGCATTTTGATTTAATTAAAAGAATACAAACCTGAACTTGATGTTTAGCAAACTTTTTTGATATTTATATACGCTCTAATTAAATACTACGCAATACGCAAGCAACGATAAGAGTTACGCAACACGCAAGCAACAAGAGCAGACATGTGAACGGAAGAAGTTTAATATAGAAAAAAAAAACAACAAAAAAACACCCTTTAAATAAAAAATAATAATTTTTTATTTTATTAGTTACTATAATTAATTATTATTATTTTTTTCTTTTACTAAAACTCTATTAAATTTCTATTAAATCTGAAAATTTTGTTACAATGGTTATATTGAAAGAACTGCTATCGGCTCAAGCAGATACAATGTTGAAATGTTTTAAAGAAAGCTTTAACAGCATTAATGAAAGAATACTATTGTTAGGAAAGGATGTTGAGGAAATAAAACGAGGACTTTTGTTGAAAAAGATATTGAAACCAAAGTAAACAAAGTAGATAGTAAACAAAACCAATGAAGATGTATTGAAAAAAATTAAAACCCTCTTTAAATAGGACCTTGAAATAAACGAGTCTATTACAATTGGCTCATAGAGTTAAAAAGTTAGAAAAAAAACCACGGACAATCGTCTGCAAAATACTCAATTGGCAAGATAAAGAGGCAATATAAACAAACGCTCGTAAGTTAAAAGGAAAAAATATATTTTTTAACGAAGATTTTAGCGAAGAAACAACGAGAATACGCAAAGAACTTTTTGCTCAAGCACGAGTGAGCGGCGTCGGAGGCGTAGTTGCTATCTATATTCGTAAAAAATTTGAATTAAAAAAAAAAGTTTAATTCAATATTTTAATATAATGCGTTATATTTCAAAACTAATATTTATATTATATTATTAGTTATATTGTAACTAACGTGTTTAAAATTCTTATTATGTACTTAGCTACTCTTCATTTTTGTATATTAACTGACAACTTTTTAAATTTTATGATGGGGCTTGATGATAAGACAGTTTATGTCTTCTACTTGCTCCAGCTCTCTTATTTATTAACACGATTTATTTCTTTGTAAATTTTAATATATGAAAAAAAGCTAAAAACGAAAAAAAAAATTTTTTTCACTGATTAAAGGGTCATTCCATGCCAAGTGGAGCAAACTTTTATGAGGTTCCTTATGGATCATCTTAGACTTTATTGAAACTTTTTGATTTTGTACATATATATGAGAAAAGCATGTTTTAAAAATTTCTGATCAAAATCTAATAAAGTTATTGAGAAAACGCTATTTAAGTAGAGGGGTATTTTGCATGAAAACTAGTCATTGGAATGACACCTTAATAAAATAAACAAATAAAGCAAGAAAAAAATATATAGATAGCAACCAAAATAAAATTAAACAAAATAAAAAGAAGGAAAAAAAATTTTAAAAAGCAAGACACATAACACAAAAAAGGGCAAAAGTGAATAATCTGACATGATAGATAACAAATGAATGAGATAACAAAACGTTTGACGATCAGAAGTATGATAAAATAAAAAGGATATTTTAAATATTATGATGAGACAAAAAATAAAAAATAACTTAAATAATAGCAACAAACATAAAAAGCCACAATAATAAAAATAATTTGCAAAAAGACCACCAAAAAAAACATAAACAATATACAAGTGTACATGTCAATATAAACGATGCACAAAATTACACCACAGTATAAACATTTATAAATGATACACAAAATTACACGACAGTATAAACATTTATAATCCCGAAAGATAATCTCTAAAGGTCAATGACTCTAAAGTCATTTCAAATATTTTTTGTTTATGCGACACAATGATCGCAAAAAGTGACCAACGGAGCCGTCCAGTTTCGTAGACCTGGGAGATGTGAAAATAAAAACAAATTGTAGATGATGTCATTTAGGTAAAAAAAACACAAATTAATGTAGAGACTATTTAGTAGGAGGAGTAAAATTTAGCGACTCGGAGGAGAGGAACTATAAATCACATTCTAGTCATCTTTAGCAAATGATAAAACAATGATGTATGAGTAAACAAGTCAATATAAACCCGCTGGTTAATTAATGGTATTTATTACTAAAATAATCGCACCATACAAAAATTACAAAATAAGTAGATAACAAAATAGTAAGTAAAATGATAAGGAATGATAGGTGGATCAATACAAAAAAAATGTATAATAAATGTGGTACTATATATGTTCTAAACTCTAGATAATAAACTGATAATCACCTGTGTAATATAAAAATATATAAATGTCGTTAATGTGATAAATTCATAATAAAAAGCTCACAAATCGCAAAACTTCATGGGTGTAAGAGGTAAAAAAAATTTGGTGTCATAATAACCAATTAGAATAAAGTAGTGAATAAATCCCCGTCCTCAGGAATGCACTGCGATCACCAATGACGTTTGGGAGAGCCCGAAACCTGCACGAACGCCACTCATCAGGGGCGTGTCCTTGCAACAGATCTCACCTCCTGTACTCTACGTCATGCTAGTCACTATTGAAATATAATAGGACTAATATTTAAGTAGTGGGTTATTTTGCATGAAATTTTACTCTTTAAGAAAAACGGGTATTTCCATCATTTTTAACAGCTAGTAACTTTTGAACAAGTTAGTTTTATACTTCAATTATTTTAAGATAGGGGAAGGTTGCGTAAGTTGAGCATGTTTTCAGTAATGTATTTTGTCCAAAAAAATTACAAAAAGCTATATATTTTTTTAAGAATGATGATAACTTCCGTTTTCCTCTCAAAGAATATAAATAAATAATTCAATTAAAAAATATATATATTTAAAAGTTTTCTTCAACACACCCAGTCATTTCATCTTAGGAAACCAGTTTCCTAAGATGAACTTTTTTCAATGGAATTTAAAAAAACCCAAAATAACAAAAAAAAATAATCACAAAAAAAAATCAAATAAAATTTTATCTTCAAGTAATATACTTAAGTAAAAAGTAATCTCAACTATAAAAAAACAATAATAAATCTTTCTAATCTCTAAAAAAGTTAACGATACTTTTTTTTGAAAAAACTTTCGCTCTTGAAATACCAAAATAAAGCTCCGCGGAGAATAACTTTAAAAAAACGCGCTTTTCTTAATAAATAGCCGTATTTAAGATTGTATTTAAGATGATTTGTTTTTAGAAGTCTTGAGCGTCTAAAAACATATCATCTTAAGCAACTTTATCAAGTACTATCATAATTCAACTTTATCAAGTAATATCATAATTTAAATAACATGACAACAGCTTATGTATTATCTCAAGAAACCCATGAAATTAGTAGTAGATAAGCATAAAATATTAAGGATGTAAAAAATTTTTGATGATCTTGTTTCGTTCTGATGTAATTACAAAATATTAAATAATAAAAAATTATAACGGGGATGGTAAATTTTTTTAATAGTTAAACAATCAAAGAATATTAACTAAAAAACCAAGAAATTAAAATAAATAACACCGTCGAACTTGAATGAATATCTTTAACCAAAAAAGTTTGCGAAAATATCATTATTCTACCCGTAAAAGAGGATTTACCATCTTAGGAACCTGCTCATCTTACGCAACCTTCCTCAACACAGTATAAATCTGAATAAATACACTTTTGAGTGACAAATTATGAGTTTATGAAGAAATATGATGTTAAAAAAGAAAGATTTGTCAAAAAAAAAGTAAAAATACTACCAAGGTATTGGGTGAATACCAGCTGATATTATTTCTACTACCAGGGATGTTTATGACGTGCAACAGAAAAAAAGACGTCAACAATGGTTTGGAATTGATTCCCAAACCGATGCCGAACAACATTACAATGGCATTCTTTAATAAAACTAATAGGTCTTTTTAAAACATTTTTATTAAAACCGTATTGTGGCTGTCCACAAAGGGTAACCTGAAATGCTGTAATGGACACATTTTTGGCTGCAAAAAATTGTCATTTTGAAGTTATTTGAAGACCAATTAGGAGAAAAAATACATCGAGATAATTTCATAATATAGCATTTATAAAATGTTTAAACAAAAAAATATTTTTAAAATTAATAAAAAATAATCTAGAGAAATTTTTCTGGCTTGTTTAGTTGATTGTCATATTTTTTATTTTACTTTGAAAACAATTTTTGCATTGCTAATAGCAATCAGCAGTATAGCTAAAATTTGTTTATTCAAGCAGTGTAAAAACTTGTGTTTTTTTATTAAGTGCACCTTAAAGCCCAAAAACACCCAACTCTCTGAACATTCTTAACCAAATGTTCGGCAATAGTCGAAATAAAAAAAGTAATGTTATAAAAAAAAGTAATGTTATAAAAAACAACTAAATATCTAATCAAACTTTAGCAACATTTATAATGAATTAAGTTTACACACATTGAGATTCAGTTTAGATATTAGTCTTTAACAATCTTTCTTTTAAATTCAGGGGATGATGCATCCGTTAGAAACTTAGCATATAATGGCAACCTTTGAGTCATTTGAAAGCCCCATTTATCTTTAACTTGACGGCACAAATTTAAATCTAACTCAGCAATAATTATTCCGTCATTAATGCGTGAAAGACCAGGTGTACGTGATCCATTAGGTGCAGATATGTAACTCGATCCGTAAAAATGACCAAAATCTTTGTGTGCTGGTTTACCATCTCCAGACGTAAACTCATTAGGAAAATATTCTTTTCCGACACGATTTATTGCAACAGTAAAATACGAATTTGCAATAGCAGCACATCTTGCTTCAATTGGCCACATAGGTTCACTTAAAGCACCAACTGTAGCAGAAGGATTAAATACAATTTCTGCACCATTCAAACCAAAGCTTAGCCAATTTAAAGGATGATGTCGACCAAAGCAAATATTTACAGCAATTCTACCAAACAATGTTTCAAATACTGGATGGCCTAATTCACTCTCCATATAGTATGTAGACTCATTGAAATCTCCAACTCGAGGAATATGATTTTTGCGAGATTTCCCAAGGTAACTCCCTTTGTTTGATATTACTACTGCAGTGTTCCACAAAACATCTTGGTGAGCTTCGTCCCTTTCAAGTATAGGTGAAATAATAACCATATTGTGTTTCTTGGCTAAATGATGTAAAAATATCGTAGTAGCACCATTTTCAGCAGACTCGGCAAATTGACACCAAGGATGCTTTTCACGAGTGCAAAATGCAAACGGCATTGTCCAAGCCTCTTGAAAACACAAAATATTTACTTGATTGCTAGCTGCTGCCTCAATAAAAAGTTTAGCTCTTTCATGAATGGCCTTAATTTGCTCCAAAATAGGTGCGTCGGTAGGAAGAACAATTTTATTTTGAACAGCAGCGACTCGCACAATTCGAGGAGGGCGTTCTTCCTCTTGGAGAGCTGTCATTTTATAACCACAAATTTCAAAATTATTATCAGCAGCAATTGAAACTGAATCTTCTGTTAGACTAATTTTAACAACTGGTTCACCATATAACAACCTCTGAACTTCTTGAAGGTCTTCATCTTTCAAGTTTCTTGATAAAATATCGTCCAAGCTTTTAACCTCTTTTGTCATTTTTTTTAATGTTAACTAAAACAAGCTATTGGTTTAGCAACAAACTATTTTTTTTGTATATTTTATTATTTATTGATAAAAAAAACTTTTTTTTCTTTATTAATAAATAATAAAATATACCAAAAATTAAATAAAAAGCATTAAAATAGTTAGTACAAGAATAAAATGTAACAAAAATCAACACAAAAGCATTACAAAATTTAATTATATTTATATCCATCTAAACTGTATATAACTTATATAATATCTATATAATTTACTTATATAACCAATAGTGTGATGACAGTATGCGTACAATGTAGATGATTTATTATTACTCTTTTTTCTGATTAGATTAAGTTCATACAGTTTGCATTACTTGTGAACTCAATGCAACTAAGGTATAGAACAAACAAACTCGTGAAAAAAAAACTGATAATTTAAAACAAGTCCGATTGGTTGTTAGTGGCAAACCGAAAAACTTTAAATTTATTTGTATTTAATTTATGCAAACAAAGAATTCGATTTGAAAATAATTTTTTTATAAAGTTCACCACCTAAAGTTTACCATTTATTATTTCAAGATGACCGAATAAGTCCCGAGTATTTCAAAAAATGATACTAAATACCGAACAGTTTTTTAAATGGGGCTAAAAGTTATGATTGTATATGCAAAAAACGACTTTAGTAGAAAAATTAACTCTACCATAGGTTATCTAAATCTAACGTCACATTATTGTTAAACATACTCATTTAAGTGTGGTATTGAAAATAGTAACTTTTTTATGGATAATTTTCCCAAATAATGTCTGATTAGAAATGTCAAGTTATGATAGAAATGTCATTGAAAACAAACACCAATACGTGAATTTATGAAAAAATCAAGTTCATAGAGTTATCTATAGCCAAGCCCCAAGGTACTTTATGTTGGAAATTGCATCTTTTCTAAATAAAACACTTTTACTAGATTATAATAGTAGTTAAAATAATTTTTCCATACATACCAAATATGTCATACTTTTTGATGAAAAAGCTTATATATATTGTAATTCAAAAAACTTATATTTTTGTTCGGAAAAACGTGTACCATGCCTTAGTTGCATTGAGAAGTTTGTTCGTGCATATATTTTACAAGAACGCTGGTTTGCAAGAAAAAAAGATTTAGCTAGATTACGCATTTAAAACCTTGAAATGAGCATGATATCATTGTATCAATGAGCATAATATTATTGTATAGCGAGTTTTATGGAAGTCAGAAATATGAAGAAAAAAAAACTTCCAAAAAAACTGTTTATGTGATTTAAAGTGAAAATATGCAACTTAGATAATAAAAAGTACAAACGAAGAAATTTGAAACAGCACCCTTAGCGTCGCTTTGGCAATAGAAAATATGCTATTAAAAGTAAGCAGTTTCATATTTTGAAAAAATATTTTTTCATACAAAATCTAATTGTTTGTTTACAAACTAAACACTAACGATTAAAAAAAAAAAATCGAATCTACTTTTTTTTTGAGATTTATTTTACTTATTTTTGAGTGATACATGTTCTTAATAGATATCGTTGCAGAGATAAACTAAGAATTATGATAATAATAAAAAAGACCAAATAAGTTAAACTTTTTTACTAGTGGTCAAACTTTAACTGACGTGTTGTTTATTAATCCTGATGTTATTTTCCTATTGATATGTCCAAGGACGTATTAATAGATGGACGTTTAATCCATTGTTATAGATCTGAGGCGCCGCAAGTAAACAAAAACCTATGCGAGCTATAATTTTTAGCGTCGTTTTACTGAATAATTTATAAAAGTAAACCGACGTTTTTCCGATAATTTCGCTTTTCTAACTACTTTTTTTTAAAAGTACAATTACCTACAAAACTCTAACTTTTTTTAAAAATTAATGCATTTTAATTAATCAGAAATAGCTCATCTGTTTTAAAATGTCAAATTCGATACGTGAGCGCTTTTTAATAAGAACTTATTAATAAAACTTGGACGTCAAAAATCATATTTTTGTAAAATAGTGATATTAAGTTTGCAAGAATGAATATTGCAAAGTGAAACAAATTTTCTAGATGTTGTAGGTAAAACTGTAGATCATATATAGATCGAACTATAGATTATTTGTGGTTTTTTTTCTCATATTTGTCGGAAATTTTGTCTTACTTACAATTTTGTTTTATTATTTTTCTTTGATTAACTTTTTTTTTCCATGTAAAGATTTTGCTTGAGTTTATAGATCATATAATGAAAAGGTTTTATTTATTTAAAAATTTTATAGAGTTTTTAGGTGTAATGGAATGTTTAAATGTTTCTAAGGCTAGGCGAGATTATCGTTATTTTGACGTAAAATCAAGTAAAAATATTCTCAAGTTAAAAATAGTTCTCTATTGTTTGGATTTTGTTATTTGTAACAATGACAAACGCGGATATCTTGGCTTTTAAACAATACGTTAAACTTCCATCTTTTAATACGTCCTTGATATGTCGTATGGTAATCCTGTTTTTACCTCTCTACTGTGCGCATCAGGTTTGTTATAAAACAATAAATCAAACAAATTCTTTTTAAGTATTCCTGCTTTCTTTTTTTTTTTTTATTAAACTTTAATTTCTCTTTTCTTTTATCCATTTCTAACTCTGAAAATAACTTTAAAAACAGGTAAACGGGTAGAAAAACAAAGACTACAAACATTCCAATGTTCAAAAACAATTATATTAGTCATTTGGCATTCGATTGATAAAAAATACATTATTCTGAAAATAATTTGAATTTATCTTCATTTTTTTAAAATTATATTTATATGAAAACCTCAATGTATTGACTCAAATGGTAGGAAAAAACACTGTGACTTTATGTGACTTTAAGGAAAAGTGACTTAGATGATTATGAATGAGTATGATGATGATTACAACCATAATCTATAAATCTTTGTGGTCCACCGTTAGACGGGTAAACTTAATAAAATGTTTTAAGTAGCCTATAAATATTTCAGCATTCATTAAGATTTTTTGACGAATCTGTTAAATTCTTTTGATGCTCTTTTCAATAAAGTGTTTCTACATAATTTCATTAAAAAAACAATAAAAAACAAAAAAACTAAATAACAAATTTACATCACAGGGAACTTTAATTTAAATCTTCCTAATGTTTTAAGCTGATAACGATGTAAAACGTTTCTTAAACTCTCTTTTTCAATACAATATTCTTCCCTTAACAAACAAGCCTACTCTTGTAACTATTTAAACCGAATCTTTCATTGATAATATTTTTACTAGCATTTTTACAACATGCAACATTCAGAGCGGAATGATAAAAAGCGATAAAAGCTTTCCAATTTTTTTTGTATCTGATTTTTATAAAAAGGACAAAAAAAGCAAAGTACTAACGGAAATAAAACCGCAGATTACTGAATTATCATTAAGGAATTTAGAAATTGTTTACTCAAAGTACACTGGAAACAACTACGTAGTAGCGAAGATAGCCAAAGATATTATAAGCCAAAGAGCCGGGAGGCTGCATAAGTGCGAATTGGCATAAGTGCGAACTGGCGTAAGTGCGCCAAACAAATTTGAAAACATTGGCATAAGTACGAATTGGCATAATGATAACTGACATAAGTGCGAAGCAGTTACAAAAACTGGCATAAGTGCGAACTGGCATAACTGCGAATTGGCATAAGTGCGCCGAATAAATTTGCAAATATTGGCATAAGTGCAAATTAGTATTTCGCATTTATGCCAATACGCACTTATGCCAGTTTGCACTTATGACAATGTTTGCAAATTTATTTCGAGCACTTATGCCATTTCGCAGTTATGCCAGTTCGCACTTATGACAATTTTTGTTACTGCTTCGCACTAATGCCAGTTCGCACTTATGCCAATTCGCACTTATGCCAATGTTTGCAAATTTGTTTGGCGCACTTATCCCAATTCGCACCTATGCCAGTTCGCACTTGTGCTAGTTTTTGTAACTGATTCGCTTTTATGCCAGTTTGCTCTTATGCCAATTTGCACTTATGCCAGAGTTTGCAAAATGTTTTTGCGCACTTATGCCAATTCGCACATATGCCAGTTCGCAATTATGCCAGTTTTTGCAACGCTTTGCACTTATGTCAGTTCGCACATATGCCTATTTGCGCTTATGTTAGTTCACGCTTACACCATTCGCACTTATGCCAGTTTGTACTTATGAAATTCGCGCTTATTCAGTTGTCCCAAATAAAGCCTATGAATTTTTTTACAATAAGTTCTTTAATGCGTACAAAAAAGCGTTTCCGATAAAGAAAATTAAAACCAAACTTAAAAGTCTACAAAGTCCATGGATTACGAAAGGACTTATTAAATCTTCTAAGAAGAAACAAAAACTCTATCAAAAAAAAGCTAAAAAAAAAAATCTTAAATTTATTTCAAAATAATATTGGAAGCAATAAAAAAAACTTGGGGTATAATAAAAGAAATGAAAGGAAAAGAAAAGAAAACTCATGGCGATACTTTACCGAAATATTTATTTACTGAGGATAAAAGAACAATAACTAAATATAATGAGAAAAAGATATTGCAAAATAACTTTTTTATAAAAGTAGGTAAAAACCCAGCAAACAAAAAAACACCAGAAAAAATTTTTTTAAATCATATCTAAAATGAGTGGACTATGTAATGGATGACCTAGAGGTATTGCCTGATGAACTACAGTTTGCTTTTTATATGATAAAACCAAACAAAAGCGCAAGTCTTGATGATATAAGCCCTCTGATTGTTAAAGAAGTTCTTGATATTATTGAATACCCCTTACTTATCATATTTAATCTTTATTTAAAAATGGAGTTTTTCCTGACCTTTAGAAACTAGCTAGAGTCGTTCCAATATTCAAAGATGGTGATATCTGAAAGTTATCAAATTACTTACCTATTTCCATACTCCCATATATTTCTAAAATTCTAGAGCGAATAATGCATAATAGGCTTTACAACTATCTCGCAACTCACAAAGTTTGAAATAAAAATCAGTACGGTTTTAAAAAAGGGTACTCGACAGAATATGCAGTAATCAAAATAA